CCCCCTGCTGAACAACACCTGGGCCACAGTTCCACATGAGTGTCCTCCACCACTGCTCTTGATCAACCTTTGCAACGCTCTGCACCCTAATATGCAAGCAGCATCTTCCCAGATAGGTTTATTCCATACAAGGAGCATTTGCTGGCTCCAAGGAAGAACATGAAGCAAAGCAAAATGCCAAGTCTCTGCTGGGCATCTTATTGCAGAGAAGGTTTGTGTAAACTATCTGGAAGATAGAAGGAATTTGTCTGCTGTTTAGTTTCTTTAGAAGGCTATAGGGGGCACACAGGCCTGGAAACCTCACAGGAAGAAAATCTCCTAACAGGTTTTGTGATTTCCTGCCGTGCAGAAAGCATGCAGAGCCCAGGTTCTCACTTGGCTGTTTCTGGCCTTCATGGTTGGTACAAACTCAGTGGGACAGGAAAAAGCATTTACGCCCAGAACTTCATTCCACCACCCACAGAAACAAAATAGTTAAAAGTGACGTAAATTAAGCTGGCATTGCAAGGGATTGCTTAAAGAAAGAAATCATTAAAAATAAAGAGAATTAAAATAAAATACTTCTGCGTCATGACAGATGCTTACACATCACCTAGCAAACTCCTAGCACGCACTCTTGAACTTGAAGAGGAGCTCAAGCACGCTCCAGCCTGCCAAATAGGTTCTGATGGCCTATACAGATATTTTTCTGCTTTGAATGTCAGCAAAAAAAGTAATTTGGATGCCTTAAAAAAAACACTACCAAAACCACAAAAATTGCCAGGCCAGTGCCTACACTGCAGTATGCTGTCTTGTCTGAAGTCAATCAACCAGCAGAGAGAGATGGAGGTGCAAGCATTCAACAGACCTCTGTGCAGAAGCGCCCAAACTAGAGACCCAGACCAGTACGTCCAAACACCACAGGACAGTTTTATCCAAGCCCAGGGCTGTGCCCAAACCAACTTGTTCCATCTTTAGCTTGATTATGATTTCAAGGTCTACCCAGAGGCAGACGACAGGAATGTTTCATCACCTCACCCAGTCTCATGATGATCTGCAGTGCAAGAGTACCATGCAGTCATGTAGGGTCAACACAGCTTGTTTGTTTGTTTTTCCAGATTGCCACATACTCAAGGCATCTTGCTGTGAGCTGAGTTTAACCACTGCTAGTGAGGTCCTGCAAAGGACACAAAGACTGAGCCTCAAGCTCTAAAAAAAACCTAAAATATCATCACAAACTTGTACTGCTGCAGCTCAAGGGCCAAGCCTGGAGAGCAAAAAATAGCAGAACTAGCAGCCAGAAAAATGCAATGTCACAAACTACCCTGAGCAAGGCAAGGGTTGCCCCTTTTTTTTTTTTTGTAAGTCATCTAGAACATCTGGGCCACGACTTGACCCTGGGTTCATGTACTGATTTACCACCACAGTAATTTCTAGCCAGGAGGAGTGCCTCAGTTATGTTTGTCATATATATTCTCTGGAGAGCAGCCTGGAGACCATCAGATCCTACACACAGGCAGAAGAGTCAGACAACACAGTACTAATAACATGAGACTACTCACCATCGGTGCTCCACGGTGACCTATAATGGCTGGCTTTGGTCCCAGAGCCTTCTTCTCCATTATACAAGGGGACGAGATGGTGAGGGGGACGAGGTAAAGTGCAACTACAACTGCGAGGTATGCAGTGAACATCAACATCTGAGAAGCTGAGATGGAAAGAGAGAGAAAGAGCTGGTGAAAATGTTGGTCCTGATTTCCTCACACCACAGGAGCAAAGTCAAGACACCTTTGTCTTCCTCCAGAGGAGAGACTGCTCCACAGCCATTGCCCCTAGTACAACAGCAGAGCTCTATGCTTAGGGAAAAACATATTCTATTTAAAAAAAAACCCTTCTTTGAGCTAACCAAGTCCTGAGGGAGGTTTTCACTTCATTTTGTATTGGGGAAACAAAAAGTTAAGTGAATTGCTTGAAGTCCCAGCAATGTAGCCCAAAACACTGCAGTGTTTGTGTCACCCAAAGGGTGGCACAGCATCAAATTTTGCCCTGCCTGACAGCAGAAAGAGATCACCAGTTAAACATATCTACAAATAAGTCTGGCACCATGTCGGTGCATTTAATATCACTTGGGTTTACACCACTTGTGTTTATATTGGTGGTTCACCACCACTGCCCATTTCACCCAGGGTAACACCACTTTTAACTGCTTCTGCATTAGGATTTGTGCCAGCCAGCACTGAGTTAATTTGCAATAATGTTTTACTGATTAAGGTGGACATGTTTAAATAAATCCTTGGGTTGTGATGGTGCTGCACTCCCCAGGGTCTCTGCAAGCAATAACATTACAGGACCAGCCAATGCAGCCAGGAAGGTGCTGGCTGCAGCGGTTGGGGCCAGATGAGCAGTCCTGCCTCTCACGCCACGCCTCAGTCGCCCATCTCTGACTTCTGGTGACTTCACACAAAGTCCAAAGTACCTGGGAATTTTTCGAAGGTGCTGACAGCGCAGAAGAAACACCCCTTGTTCCCAACAGATGTATATTCCTTATAAACAACAACAGGCACTTTTGAACTCCTGAGCTGTCTGGAGCCACTTGATACCAAAGATATTAAAGCATAAGACTTCATTATTTTTTATACTATTATTTATTTTTCAAACTCATTAAGGCTTTGGAACTCAAGGGACAACCTCCAAAAGAACCCTTTAAAACAAATATTTGCCATGGATGCAAGACATAGAAGGCGGGTTTCTTTAGGAGAAGGACAGAACAGCCCAGATCTGGTCCTGACCACGACTGATCTGGTTTCACACATAAACAAACTGCTTTTTGCTTCCAGCATCTAATAGCCTCATTCAAACATGTTCCTACAAGCCAGAAGGTAACACTAGTAACTTTGCCAGCTGATTTTTCCTCCTCTCTGGAAGAGATGTCAATCACCCACAGAGCATTCAAGGAACTGAATGGCATCTTGCTAAGTGAGTCCATGCTGTGTCTTGCACCATAAAGGTACGGAGCCTTGGAGATGTGCGTTACCAGCATCAAAACCTCCAGATGGACACAGGAGGTTATCCTGACCCAATTCTTGCTCGCTCCAGGAACTCCACACACCAACCAGGCTTTGAAAATCAGCCTAATTGTCAGCAGAGTCTCAGTCTGTGCAAAGAACCTGGTCCCTTCCTACCTGGTACTGCAGTTTAGGGATTAAACAGCTCAGATTCAGACTAAAGGGAAGCACCATGTGAAATGTAGGGGCTTCCAGTTATTTTTATTATTGGACTGACTGCAACCACAGGGAAAGGATGACCCAGCATGGGTCACAGACCATGTTAAAACGGAGCTGAAGTTCTCACCCAGCGTATGTGGGAACTGAAATCATGCACGAAAACCCCAAAATTAAATACATGCATGAAATACAAGCAAAGTACATACTGTTCAATTTGAGAATGGAGTGTCTGTATGAAAGAAACTCTCCTGGTGACCACCCAACCCTAGCAAGCAGGACAGATAAATCTTCTTCCTTCTACAACATGACACTACCACCACCTAGACACAAGCCTTCCCTCCCGTTCCCCCTGCTCCTAGTGACCACTCCAACCCAGATTGGGCTCCTGGAAGAGCCCATTTCTCACACTGCCATTTGCTATTCAAGGCTTCCAGGGCTCCTTTGAGTCCGATGTTTTCTATCTGACCTCAGAAGCAAGCTGTGAAAACAAGCTACTACCTTTTAAAACACTGTAGCTATTCAAGAAACTTCTAATCTCCAGGTTCAGAAAAAGTAGCATAGGAGGAACAAAAAAAACCTGTAGATTTGCTCGGTAAAAAAAGCCAGTTGCTGAAGACTGTCACATGCCTCAAAAATGACAGGAACAGATTGTGGCACCAATGACTGCAGCTGCACCAGTTATTTCCAAAAGATTATTATTAGTGACTGAAATCTTATTTTCCCATTACAAGCAACTGTAGGTTCTCACAGATTTCAGTTCTTTTCTTCCATTTTTAATGCCACCGTGTCAAACATATCTGTACCAGAAAGTCTGTAAACTCCTCCAGGTAAGATACCTTTCACAAGTAAAATGACTCTGAAATAACTTTTAAGATCCCATAGTACAGAAGAGATGAATGTTTTTCCTTAAAAACAAACACACCAAAAAAACCCCCACCAAACCAACCCAGGAGCAGAAAAAGGAGAAGGAAAACAATTTCCTGGCTTATTAAAAACAAACAAACAAGCCATTTTCAGGGAACTCAGCTACAAGAGAAAAAGCATGAGGAATTTAGAAGGAGCACATGCAATCTCTGCTCTAGGCATAACCGCAAATCCTCCCTCAACTGGCAGCCTAATTACATGCTAGGACATATTTAAGAAGAACCAGGTACAGCTTTATTGGCATATTTATAAATTAATGCAGAGCAATCCTTTCTTTGAAAGGTCTCTCTGGATATCAAAATCTTTCCATCTTCAAACACCATTTCCTCATTCTTAACTCCCACTTCTTGAAGTCTTTTGCAAGTGGTGCCAAATCCTTCCAGGGCTTGTCTTTTGCTGCAGGTTAAATACCAATTAAAATAATTTTTCTGGGGCTGACACAAATGTCTGAGAACATCCATGGACGCCCTGAAGAAAAACACTTCTGAGGGCACAGAGGGATCAAATTATTTCACAAGAAAACCGAGAGGAACAGCTCAGGCTTGGGAGAGCCCCTGGCAACAAGGTAGGACAAGGGAGATGCATAGAAAAGCTTATTTCAGTGGACAGGGCCATCACAAAGAGGAGCAGGGTTCAGTCTGTCCTTCACCACTCTGCTCCCTTAGACCTTTGACTGTGTCTCAATACACATTTAAGGAAGCATCTCATCATCAGGGGACCAGATCTCCACTGAGCCCTCTGGGTGCTACTGCATCACAAGCAACAAGTCCGTGAAGGCTTTCAAAAGCCAGATCCACCTAGAAATGCAGTGAACAAGAGCCAAGGAGACAGGGGAAGGGAGAAGTACGTATAAGATCGAGAAGAACATTGCACATTAGCTGCAGAGCGTGCATTTATGTTTTCTAAAGCAGATTGATAGAAATCTGGATGCTTTTCTTTATTGCATCATTGGAAAAAAGCCCTTTCACTTCCAACCCTGGCACACTTCCAACCACAAAGCAGCAGCTGTGGGATCTGGATGCATCCCCAGGCTAGGTTCACCCACTCCAGTTTCAGCCAGGTTACTCTAGGAGAGCATCCACCTCCAACGCGGCTGAGCTGGAAGCTGCTGGGCCCAGGGAAGAAACCAGCACTGCCTCCTGCCAGCCGGTTCCCAACAGGAGGGCCCAAAACCCCACCAGCCATCCACCAGCCCCTGGCCACCATGCAAGGACATGAGTAGTACTTACTGGCTTTCTCCATTCGTGCAAACTGCCCCGCTATCAACCATGACAGGGCCGTGACTGCTGCAAGTGCTCCTATGTGCAAGAAAGGGGCTGTTGCCTGCAGAAGAAAAGGAGAGAAAAAAATGACAACAAACACCTCAGCACCTTGCAAATTCATTGATATTACAGGTTGTATAGTGCATCAGACCACTCTCTTTCCAGCTGGATATCATACCATTTCTACCTCTGTTTTGGCCATCTCTTCTTCCAAACCCTACCATTGCCTTTGGCACTCAGGCCACTATGAAGGCAAAGCAGGAAAGCTCTAAGCCCCTTCTTGGGGAAGGGCTCACCCAAATAACAGAGATTTGGAAAAGGCCTCATTAGACACCATGCAAATTCAAGTAAGGATCTTGGTGCCATCAAGTTTTAAATTTCTCATAGACCAGTTGAACACTGGTCAACGGCTCAACATCCAGATGGAGATCAGTGACAAGTGGTATCCCTCAGGGGTCTGTACAGCGACCAGTACTGTTTAATATCTTTGTCAGTGACAGACAATGGGATCAAGTGCACCCTCAGCAAGTTTGCAGATGACACCAAGCTGAGTGGTGCAGTTCACACACTGAAGGGATGGGATGCCATCCAGAGGGACCTGGACAACCATGGAAGTGGGCCTGTGTGAACCTCATGAAATTCAACAAGACCAAGGTCCTACACATAGGTCTAGGCAACCCCCAGTATCAATACAGGCTGGGGGATGAAGGGATTGAGAGGAGCCCTGCTGGGAAGGACTTGGGGGTACCGGTGGATGAAAAACTGGACATGACCCAGCAATGTGTGCTCACAGCCCCAGAAAGCCAACAGTATCCCCAGGCTGCATCAAAAGCAGTGTGACCAGCAGGTCAAGGGAAGGGATTCAGAGTTGTTCAGCTTGGAGAAGAGAAGGCTCCTGGGAGACCTTATTATGGCTTTTTAATGCTTCAAGGAGGCTTATAAGAAAGATGGGGACAAACTTTTTAGTAGCACCTACAGCAACAGGACAAGGGGCAATGGTTTTAAACTAAAGGAGGGGAGATTCAGACTAGATGTAAGAAATGTTTTATGATGGTGGTGAAACAGTGGAACAGGTTGCCCAGAGAGGTGGTGGATGACCCATCCCTGGAAACATTCAAGGTCAGGTTGGATGGGGCTCTGAGCAACCTGATCTAGTTGAAGATGTCCCTGCCCATGGCAGGGCGGTTGGACTAGATGACCTTTAAAGGTCCCTTCCAACCCAAACTGTTCTATGATTCTATGAACACACTGGACTGCGTATCACCATGGTGTATCATCACGATATATCACCATGAGAGAAAGTTTGAGATGGATCCTCTGGGTCATGCTTTTGTTCTCCAATTGCTTGCCTAAATCTTTAAAAAACAAGAAAAGAGAAGCACTTCTGAGAAATGTTAGTGTCTTGTGTGAATGCTATTTTTCCCCCTGTATTTGCGTATATTTGCGTACTCCCAAATATAAAGCAGCAATCACCATTAAAATCTCTGAAGCCTTTCATGGGAAAAATATTTTTGGACTCCTTTTTGAGGAAGAGGAAAACAAGGAATAGGGACTAGGTCTATCACGACATTAACTGTTTGTCACTACTATCCTCTAACACATATAGCCCTGCAGCATACCACAAGTCTTTCTTAAAACAGGACTAGAGCACAGAAGTTGCATTCTTTTTTAGATATATATAAATTTGTACGTGCAATGTAAAAACAAACCCAGAGTACTCCTCCCATAGGACTGGGAAGAACATGATGCTCGAGGCGTGGACACCAACTTCCAGAGCATTGCTAGCCAAACCAAGCCCTCTCCATACAGCAACTCTGAGTCACACCCAGCCTCAGTATTTTCCACATCTAATTCTGCAACCAAGCCCTGGTTTGAGTTTAAAGGAAAGAGCCCAGGAGATGGAGACAAAGCGATGTGGTGGCCTTGAGGACTCCCTGGGAGTTTTGCTGCAAGTTTTCTCACTGCCAAAATTTCAATTTGGGGAGTGACAAACATCAAGACAGGGCTTTATACAGTAGGAAGACAAAATCCATGACATGTAGCTGCACTGGCCTCTTTCCCCACACAGAGAAACATCCTTGCAGACAACTTACTTGCAATGAAATAAATACCATCTCCCATTCGTCATCCCAAAGCTGTGCTATTGATGACATGGTCACCACGGTAGTTATCAAGGTTGTCATCAGGCCAATCTGCAACAAATATGAGAGTATTTACATACTGGAGCCTACTATTATCACAGAAGTTTTACAGATTGGGAAATGTAGAGAGAAAACTTTTGTATGTAATAATCAGCCTAAAATAAGTAGCCTTAGGACCCACCAGGAAAGAGGTCAAGCTTGTGTGCTGTCCCAGCAAAACCTCCCCTTTCCACCACTGAAGATAAGACACTTGACTAAATAGTCCCAGGAGGGCACATCTCATGGATGAGCTCTCACTTTCTTCACACAGTGGCCAACGGTATGGAAAGATCAGATGATCTGCCCTGCCAGCAAACTGGATCTGAAACAGCTTAAATAAAGGTTGGGTTCTGCCAGGCAACTTCAGGAGATGATCCAGGATTCTCCTGGCCCTCCTGCAACAGCCTGTGATGCACCAGTGCTATGGGAGGTTGGCGGACTTCACTCAACTTGACTCTCCAATGCTTCTGTTGAGGGATAAAACTTGAACATGCCCAACAGACAACAAACATCACACTTCTCAGTAAAGGGTGAACGTGCGTGCAAGCAAACTTGTACATCCCCATCACTAAACAATCATCTCTGAGATGGTTCAGCACAACTTTGTGCATAGATGTGACTTTGCCTGAGCCTGAAATGGCAACAACTGTGCAGTCAGCATCCAAGCCACGTTGACAGAGCAGTTCTAACAGATATTGCAGCTTGAGAAGAGGCTCTGGATGACTGTGGTTGAACTGAGACGGCAGAATAAGACCCAGCCCATCAGCCATTTCTCCTGGTCTCCCTCTCCATGTGGAAGCACTCAGAAGTCTGAGCAGAGCAGTCAAAAAGAAAATGTCACCTCCATTTTAAAGGTAAAAAGTTCAAACCATCAAAAACTGCCATAGAAATAACTCCAGCTGTAAAGACCTAAAATCTGGGCTGCCTGTCAAAAAAAATAGTTCACCATCCTCCGCCTCTCCGTCTGGTATCTCAGTCTCTGCTGTACCGCATGCCTGCTCGATTAAAAGGATGCTGCTGCTCTGTGTCTCAATCTCATGTACTGTCTAGATCTGAAGTCTGCATGGGAGACTTTGGCAGAAGAGGCCAACTGGCATGTAACAATGAACTAATCACCTAGGATGCACAGGACGTCTCTAGACCGATTTCAGATTTACTTAACTTAGACAAACAAATTAAAAAAACCCACCTTCCCAATGTTTACAGAAATCACTTTTGTACATAAAACCATGTTTTCTTGTTCTAGTTTAGCCCTTGGTTCTCACTTGCTGTTCCTCTTCCTCTCCTAGATGCCCACAGACCAACCTGCCAACAGCACAAGAGGTGTCCGTAGGCCAGCAGTGGCTTACTCTGAACCTCCAGCTTTTGGGGAACGTGAACAAAGCACATGGGGCAGCAGAAGGGGCCAAGAGATCCAGCTGCCCCAGGCTAAAGAGGATCCCCAAGCCAAGAGGCTGCATTCAAACCACCTGCTAACCCTAACCAACCCATTCCTGCACATCCACGGATGGGATTTACTCATCTATTTAAAAGATACATCCCAGCAACCTATAATAGCAAGACACACTATTTCAAGATATTTCAAGTCATAGAATCATCACAGAATGGTTTGGGTTGGAAGGGACCTCAAAGATCTTCTAGTTCTAAACCCCCTGCCCTGGGCAGGGACACCCTCCACTATATTTCCTCATTAAGGACTCTGAATTAATAAAGTACAAGGCAATGCACGTGGACAGTTACACCTTGCATGCAGTAGTCATTCCGCTTCCCCATCCTGTGATCAGACCTCTGGGCCATCTGCCAGAGTCTATAACCAGCACACAACCCGGATTGTATCTACTTTTCACCCATTTCATATCCTCCAAAGCTGAACTTCAAATTCAGCAGCAACAGGAGACACTGTCAATTAGATTTCTTCAGTACAGCCCTAATTCCCTGTGATGTTACTGCCCTGTGCAGCACAGAGGTGTGAAGTGTATCTCCATTTCAACATTTCCTCTTCCCATCAGCTCTGATTTATTGCTTCTTACCCTCCTCCATGCATCTCCAACTTGGCTTACGATCCTCAGCTCTTTTTGTAGCGTTACAAGAGAAAATTGGAAGGAATCATGCTATTTGCACATACCAGCCTTTCCCACATGCTTTAATCCATATTTGAAGGTAATTCAGCACAGTTGCAGAGACAATTAACTTAATCCAATCTCTTATCTAAACCTCCTCAGAAAGCTGAGGGAGGTGTGGGGAAGGGAAGAGAGACACAGAGCAACACATCTGAGTTGTGACGAAAGGTGGACTTTTTTGGAAGAAGGGAAGGAAGGATGAGATTCTGTAGGCAAGAACTAACTGATCTCCACCAACACATTCCTCTCCTGGCCTTACTCATCCAAACCCACCATCCACCTGGAGCGTGTCTGAAAAATACCATTTCCCCCGATGAAGAAACATATGTTAGACTCAAGAGTCGACAATTTATTTTCCAGCAGCACTCAAGTCAGCACCCACCCCTTCTTTGCATTACATCTCCTCCTCCCAAGGAAGCATAATTTCTATCATTTCTAGGAAAAAAAAAAAAGAGAGGGCAGGGAGGTCTGTGCTCTCCCAGTGCTGAGGCGGGTAGGACATCTGTTCAGGCTCCGATCCTGCAAGATGCAGAACAACCAGTTTCAGGAGGAGCTGTGTATTGGCAGATTCAGGACTGGTCCCTTAATTACCTATTAGCAGATTGCCAGTTACAATTGAATCCTGCCAAGCCTTTTTCTTTGGCACTGTCTCTCCCCACACCCTTCCTCTATCCCTTCTGTGCTCCGAACACCAGATCTGCATCTTACTCTTCACAACAAATTTTTTTCAGACTGCTTTACACACAAATCAGGACCTCCTTGGTCTCCAGCAAACCACAACCTGCACATTGCACACCCTCAGTTTTAACACCTACATCTTCTCCCAAGGCTTTTCCACAGACAATTCCTCCAAGCACATCCTGAAAAGCTCCACATCTGCTCAGCCCTTCCTCCAGGGCTGGGTTCAGCACAGAAAGGAGCACCAGAGAAGTTCATAATGGAATACCACACTAAGCCGAGACCACAGTCAAGCTGCTCTAATGAAACAGTGTTTCTCTATCTCCAGAAGTGGGGACCCCTGTCAGCAGGTACCTCAAAACATTTCACCAACCATGGAGCAAAGTTATCATCCCCAGGCTTTGACTGTCCCTGCTGTGCAATTATCTCAGTCCTCTGAGGTGAGGACACATGTACCACAGACATCTAAAGTTTATGCTCTTCCCAAAAATGCCATGCTCCTTTCCAAGCTGAAAAGAGCTATTTACCTTGTGAAGCCAGTGCAGGTTCATTTGCTGCCCCACAGCTATGTGACATAGTGCTAGTATCTGGGAAGAAGAAATCAAGAGTCAGACAATGGCACCTCAAAATCGTCAAGTGTTTGCACCTGCAGGAGCACACCACCACCCCAAAACATAACCCAACAGGCCATGGCAGAAAGCAGGCCTGGGGTGGGGATGGGTCCAGCAGACACCACCTAGCTCATCGGTACAGATAGATCCTCTCCAAAGCCAAGGACGGTGAGGGAAAGACTGGCCTCCAAGAGGCAGGGAGTCGGAGAGGCTGGTCCATAGGTGAACAGCTCCTGGGATCTCAAGAGTCCCTCCTGGGACTACATGGGCCAAGGTACCACCATACTACCTCAATGGACACCACCTTGAGGGTCCCCAGCACCCTGGAATGAGGGGAAACAACCTGTATTTGTGATTGGCAGATATACCAATGTGGGCTTGGGGCCATACTAAGGGAAACGAAAGCTGTATTTCTCTTCGGGCCAGCTGCACCACCACCATCAGGGTGTCTGTCTTTGCTCTTGATCATCTGAGGTCAAAGACCATGCATTTTTTGCTTTCCATTTATTTTAAGTAACTTAAGGCTAAGAGAAAGGGAGAGAAAAATCACTTCTGAAAGGAAAATTGCTCAAGTCATAGGTGGCCTGAGAAGTTCATACCCTTCTTAAAACAAACGCACAAACCTTTAGGAAATGGCATTTTATTCTACTCACCAGTAACACTGTAATGTACGTAAAGCCAGCAGCAGTTGTTACAAGTATTGGAATGGACCAGTCACTCCAATATCCCATTCGGTTATATAAAAACCTGAAAGATAAGCATGCAGGACAGATTAAGAAGAGATTCAACACCATAGCAACTTCACTAGGATTAGACAAAACTTAGAAAATGGACCTTTCAGTTTCTACCATACAGACAAGAGACAGGCAGCAAAAAGAACAAGTCACCCTGAAACAAAATGTAATGTTTGTGCTTCGACCCCTCATGGGCAATTAATTCTGCAAAGAGAAATCAGATAATTATGTCAAACACAACAATGTTACTTTGGGGGAAAAAAAAAATCATACAGGACCAGAACTTGAGTTTTCAGAAGAATATTCCCTACAAACAAGGGAAAAGTATCCTCACATGTGGTGGTGTTTGCCTAAACAATAGATCTGATGCTGTCCCGTGTGCTCATGGACTAATAAATACAATGTAGAGATAGCATCAAGGACAGGGGAAGAAAATGAATGTGGTTGTGCATAGCTGTGCTAGATACTCAAGGCAAAAACTCTTTGTAGAGGGACAAGTTGATGGAAGAAATTGTCTCTCCTGTACCTGTTGTAGACTGTCTCTTATTCCAATGGACTGTAGAGAAGGTCCAATCCTGCAAGAGTGGAGACTGTCGGTGTTAGGCTCAGGACTTCCCAAAACGAGTTTGGCTAAAGGAACTGCATCCCTCTGATCTTCTCATCTTCAACTCACTGAAGGGTTTGTCTGACTAGCCTGAAGGATGTCTGTGTGCTTTTTTGGCTCAGTGAGTTCCCTCATCCTGGTCCTTCTGTTTACCTTAAAGCTCTAAGAGACAAGCCATTCAATGGCTCTGTGGTTCCAACCTTGGCAAGAGGCAGCAGCAATGTCCTGATGCACTAGGCAATCAGAGCAGAGACTGAAGCCAGGTTAGAGCAGTACTGGGGTACAGACGACATCCTACAGGCATATCTCCAAAGCACGTACCTCCAGCCCTGCTTCTTTGGTTCCTCTAGGCCATCACTCACCAGTGAATTCCTCAGTTTCCTTTCACACATGCAAAACAGTTGCCATCTCATCAAGGCTTAGCAGCACAAAAGCATAGAAGCTTTTTCCCCATATGTATGAAATGTTTTTCCTATAGCCTAGTGGTCACAGCACTGCTCCAGGAACGGAGAAACCCACATTCATTCCCTGCCTTAGCTTTTGGAATTGCAGTGTTCTTTCCACACCACCTTCATCCTCCTCCTGAAGCTGTCAAATTTGCATTTAAATAGCAATACACTTCCCAGTAAAACTGTCCTGGAGTTGGATTCAAGAGTCATTAAAACACATTTCAGCAAAACTACAGCAAGACACAAGACAGACTCAGTCCGCTACCTTCCCCAAACAGAAACACAGAAGGGCACCCAGGCCCCAGGACACCAGGAGAGAGGCAGCCAAATCCCAAACCCTTTTGCAACTTCTGAGAGTTCAAGCCTGAGCTGGATTAAAACTTTTTTCCAGCGGAATTTTAGAAAAAAACATCACTAGGTTGACCTGGATTGGGGCTAACTTTAACTCCATGCAAGTCCTCTGGTACAGCAAGGACAAGATAGTTACGGGGTGGATGATGCAGCGGGACTGCTCACACATGCCCAGCAGAAAGATGAGCCTTAGAGCAGGGCCTGGCTGCTGTGATCTCCTGTGCACCTCTGAACACAAGGACTGCACGAAACCCATCCTGACTTGCCAAT